AGTCTCAAGCTTGAATCCCATCGAAAACTCTACTCAAATTCTTACTCCACACCCTGGACCCTACGTGCCTAGCCCTAAGTCCCAAGCCCTCAACCTTTCCTTGCTACTGTTCTAGGGCTCTCCAGACACTCACGTTTTAAGCCTCGACATTTGAACCGTGGATTATCATGAGGTGGGTCCTACAACCTCAGCATCTAATCGTAACCAGAACCTCACAACCAGAACCTCACTGTAGGCCTCAGCAATGCCTACATACTCCGATGCCTCTCACTCATGGCTGTGTGCCCCGACAAGTTTGGCAGACCGTTTGCAAAGAGAAAAAAAAACTGTAGGCAAGGACCCACCCAAAATGAGATGAAGCCAACTGGTAAGTTCGCAGAAGATTTCTTCTAATCACACTGCCTTATACATAAGGTCGAGAAGTTACTGACCAAAATCCCAACACCAAAAAATCCCCAAACCCAGAATCCTGCAGAACCCGCAGGGCCTCATCATTACCTTAAACCCCAAACCCTGCACTGGCGCTGTTGAAGGGCATCAACTGATCACCATGCGCAAAAAACCACACGCAAGCAAGTAAGCAAACAAGAAAGTAAGTAACTGACTAACTAACCTATAACTCCTAAGCGTTCCCCAACTAATTCAAGTCACACGAGAGCGGAACCTCAAAACAGAATCCTAAACCTTACACCCTAAGCAGAAAATACTCACACCGTAGATCCTGAACCCATGCCAAATCCTGAACACTAACCCCTAAAACCTAAAATCCATGAACCCCACTCTAAAAGCTAAACCCTATCATCCCCAAAACCACACGTCATAAGCATCTCCAACAGCCGCCGCCGAGACTTCAATAGAAACTCTATACCAGTTTAAGGGAACCCATGCTGACCCATAAGAATGCTGCTTATGCATCTAAAGCGGTGCAGAAACCCACGACAAGTCCAAGAACATGGCATACTAACCCACCCACACACATCCACACCATATTCGACTCCAAAACGAACCCCATAGGCTCCACAGTATGTAAACCCCAAAAGTCCACCTCCGCCTAGACCACATCACTCCCGCATAAACCCCTGCACATGCCTATACAGTCGCAAAAGCTTCTATAGATGTATGACAAGCCCCTACCATGCTAAGGCCCATAGAGATGAGAGCCTGCCGCAGGAATCGCCGGAGCTCCGCCATCCTTTGTTTTTTTCTTTGGGGGGAGGGAGGGTGGTTTGGGGTTCAGGGTTTAGNNNNTTCTTCGCAGAATCTTGTACCGCCGCAAGCCAATGAGGCCTAGATGAGCCTTGGATTAAATCACACGTAAGCAAGCCTGACTTGGCCATATTTAGGTGTAAGCAGTGTATACGGGGGAATAGGAACGTTTAGTTTAGGGGCTTCCGCTTTGGGATAGAGGAGACACAGGTGAGACGCTTGGGATTACGGCTTGCGCCCTCATGTTCAGGGTGGTGGTGGTGGTGGTG